TGATAATTTTACTTTAGTTTCCCATAAGGGAGATTTATGTTTTATGTGTATAATGGAGTAGGAATCCACTAAGCTGAATAAGTTCCCTAGTTTATGTGTGTAGAGTCCTGTATTATTCGGTAATTGTGCGTATTCTTGCAGGGAAAGTGACAGTATTATCAGGACAAACAACAGTCTGCAATGAATTTAGTTTAATAATTTTTCATAGTTTACTACTAAGGTGGAATTATTATTTTTATTAAAAATTTCTATCATTAATGATTTTCGTTATCGGATAAGGACTTTCAATAATTGTTTTCCTACCAACGGTCTCTTTTAAATAGACTAAGTCGTTAACTCGATATTCTTGAGGTTTCCTTGTGTGTTTGCCGTATCTATCTTTTTGTTTTTATTTACTTGAAGTTTGGTTACTTACTGCATCTGATCGTATTTGTTCTATTCTTTCGAGTCTTTCATTTGGTACTCGTGTCTCTTCAGAGAATTCGGAAAAGATAGTAGAGGGTTTTGTTCGAAAGAGGACTTCATAAGGGGAATACTTAGTTGATTGATTAATTGAGGTGTTATAAGCATGTACATCATTGTTGAAAGATATTTTCCTATTATATTGTTCAAATAACGTCATGCCTGTTTCTTTTATTGTTGCTATTACCCTTTCTATTGCTCCGTTACGTTTTGGATGATAAACTGCTGATCGTGTCCATTTCATATTTAACTGTTTAACCAAAGTTTGTATTTCATTATTTATAAATTATTTTCCATTTTCCCTGAATGGATACGTGCTGGGAATGAAAATGCGGATGCAATTTTAATTAAGCAATTTAGAACAATTTTACCGGATATCTGGTTAGTGGTTATATATGCACGAATTTGGTATGCTGATCTTGAAATACTAAAAGGCTCCTTTTATTTGACCCAGCTTTAATTACACAAGTATCTACATTTATTAGATGAAATAGTTTTAATAGTGTTTGTGTAATTATCATAGGATTCTATCTATTTATTGTGCCTACAGGGACCGCAACAAGAAATTTTCAATAAGTGGTTTCATTTTTGGAAATGAGTATTTACTTTGGAGTTTAATAAGCGTTTCATAAACACCTTTGTGCCCATTAGCTGCATTAGAATGATAATCTAATATTAATTGGAAAATTAAAGGAGTGAAATGTTCTGGTAATGTTAATTTTGTTGATACGTAAAATACTTTTTCTAATTATTGTAATTTTAAAAAGTTTAAAGTGTTTGATATGTTAGAATTTTTCGTAATGAAGTGAATAATGTTATCTGGAAAGGGTTGCAATAATGAAGTAATTACATCTTACGTCGCGTCGTAAAAACAGTAAGAAATGTCATGTTCATTTGTTGAAGTACATAAGTGAAAGTCTGTTTTAATTTCCTTGATGTTAGTATCTATTAATATACTATTTCTAAATTTTTCGTTTTCATTAACTGGGTATGCTATTATTTCAGCATCGGATTTTGTTTCGTCGGTTATTTGTATAAGATCACTAATATCTTGTTGTTGAGCAGTATTTTCTTATTCTTGAATTATTTGTTAGACTTCGTTTTCTCTGGATGGTGACAGGCCTTCCTGAATGATGTTATCTAAATTTAATTCCCAAACTATTTCCTCATAGGATTGGGGTGTTGATTCCTCGCTAGAATTCGGAGCATAGCATCTTGACGAAGCATCGGCGTTTGTGTTTAATTTTCCAAGCTTGAGAGCAATTAAATATTGGTATTCAAGCAATTTCAGCGTCCTTCTAACCAACCTGGAAGACGGATCAGGTACATTGAATGGCCATTTGAGTGCGGCGTGGTCTGTTATCAATGTGAATTTGGTTCCGAAGAAGTACGGCCTAAAATGCTTTTCTGCAGGACTTAATGTTCTGCTCGCATAGGCGTCTGGAAATTGTTCGTTTCAATTGGGTCCTTGGGATAAAATAGCGTCCAATGCATACTTGCTAGCATCTGTGGTGAGGAAGAATGGTTGTGAATAGTCGGGATATTTTAATATTGGCCCTGCGGTCAATAACTTCTTTATTTCTTCAAAGCTGGTTTTACATTCGTCATTCCATTCGAATTTGAAGTCTTTATGCAGTAATATGTTCAAAGGCTTTGTTTTCTTGACATAGTTTGGTATAAATTTCTAGTAGTATCCGCTTAAGCCTAAGAATCCTCGTAACTGTATAGCTCGCATGTTGTCCCTTAGTTTTTTAAATGGTGGTTTATGTTTACTGTGAGAGTGTGCTTCACTTTGATGTTCTTGTATATTTGTTGTGTTCTTTGCTTTTCCTTGTTTATCTTTATTATTCATAATCAGTTTTTTGTATTGTTCGTTCCAACATCAACTTGTATGTTTAACAGTCTTTTTGTGTTTTGTTGCATCTTTTATTCCGTTTTTTGCATGGTATGCACACGGATTGCTTTTCTTTACTTTTGCACGCCTCTTTCTTGTGATCTTCTTCGCCACAATGTGCACGTGTGATTTTATTTTTATTACAGTGTCTCTGCACGTGACCTAGATAGTCTTTGACATTTCTTAGTATGCCATATACTATTATAAGGGGTCTCTTTTTCTTAGGTAACCCACATTTCATTTGATTTTTAATCCGTTCATGTTTCATTATTTTTTCAAAAGCTGCCACAGTGTTTGTTTCGATTATTAGTTCTTTGTTTGTTGTTCTCATTGCCTTTATTTTAATTTTGTCTGTGCTGGGGTTTATTGATTTTGTAAATACCGATTGTACAGTCTTTTTACCTGCACCATTTTGTGTTAGAAATAGAGTATTTGTTTTCGTCTGTTTTGGGGTTTTGTCCTGTAATTTGGTGGCGCTTGCCACTGCGGTTGCATATGTCATGTTGTCACGTTTTGGGTTAATTTTTTCGTATTTTCCAGTTCTTTCCGTAATCGTTCATTTTCCGCTGATAGGGTTTTGACTTGAACTTGGAACTCTGTTTCTGCCAGAGCCCACTCCATAATTTTTTTTGAGGGCAGCAAGGCTCAATGGGAACCTCCTCTCGACATTGTGTTTTGTCTGTTCGGGTTCTTCGTCTGAGCTTCCTGTTTTCTTTCTTTCATGGGAGGTCTTTGCTTCACCCTGGATGAAGGTCTGGGTTTACCCCCACGTTTGAGGCGGGGGTTCTGGATTCATTTCTCCCTGTCCCTTTTTCACGGCTGTTTGAATGATTTTGCGCACTTAGCCCTGCTGTGGATTTTTATTGCGGGCCGAAGCCCGTTACCACAGCTTGGTTTCCGCCCCTGACCACGAGGAGGTGGCGCTATTTCCACTATTTAGCACTTCGTCGCTTAAATCGCTATGTTAAACACTTTTCTTTTGCTTTCTTTCGCTTTTTATCGCTTCGAACGCATTCCAACAATGGTACTCAAGCCTGATGTACCATTGTGCCCTAGGGGCAGTGGGTAGGGAGAGATATTGAGGATGGCAAATCCACACGCCAGCACTAGGTATACATGTGTCCTAGGTGGCCTTGAGGGCTGGTGTGAGCCTATCCATACCCCGCTAGTACGTTTAAGGTCACGATATTGGCGTCTACCGATAACCTCGTCGTCCAGCATTCGGACCATCAACCACTGCCCCCACGAGTCCATTCCTCAACATAGACCAAAGACACGCACCCCCGCTCGGTTCTCTTAAGGCGCCCCGGGCTTGGAGGTCTAATCCCATGGTACCATGGCATCACTGGTTTGTCATCGTAGCAGAGGGGGGATACTGCACTCGCGTTACCTTGCTAGTCCTCTCCGTGTTCGTGGGGGCGATACTCCCCAAAGCAGTGATGGGTGCGTGATGACGTTGCCGGGGCGCCAGTACACACGGTTCCATACTACCCCTAGCTTATCAGAATCTTTCCTTTTAGTACGTTACTTCTCGCTTACGGGACATCAGCAAGTAGCTGCCGTCTCCTCTCAAAAAGAGCCCAGGCGAATTCTATCAGTGCATCATGGCTCTCTCTTGTTGTCACGACTTGGTTCACATACGGTTCTCCCGCAGGGTCAGAAAATGCGCCGAGATGTATAAGGTCTCGGATATCGTCGTACAGCGGGCACCTGACCGTAGGCTCTAACCTCTCTACCGTGGAGGTAGCTTCGCCACACGACTAGCTCTCCACATCCTACTCGTTGGAACCTTGCGACAATACAGTTCCAATGCAAGTTGTCGAACGCGCTTGCGAAGTCGATGAACAGACCTAGAACATGGCGTTTCTTGGCTCTCGCCCTCAACCTGGTGTGGGAAGCACCACTCGACAGCCGTTTTTGAACCCGGTGCGTGTACTGCACCCGTGGGCTGACTCTCTACATGTTCGGGCTTCTCAGCGTACGGCTCCTCTACAGCGTCAAACTCGCTATTGGATGAACGAGCCCTTCGCTGGGCGGTAGCTCTGTCAGACACCCCACACCAGCTTTGGAACCCCCATCCCAGCCGCCTCTGCCCTATCCTAAGGGGCTGAAGCAGTAGCCTTCGTGTATCATTGTCCATTAATCCATTGCATTGTTTTGGTTGTCCTTAGCGCCTAGCAAGCATTTTTAAGGTGTCGTTCGCTACCAAGGTCGTGCCCCCCACCACGACAAGGTGACAACCAAAGGGGGAAGGGGAGGAGTGAAGCTCCCTAATCCATTCATGCGCGTCGCTAAGTAGATGACGAGGTATTTGGCTATTGGATGATTTATTGTTTTTGTTTGTGAGAGGTTACAATCATTTCGGCCGAGATGTTGCCGCCGTGGCTTTCTATATATTTTAAGTACTGTAATGGTGAGGGGAGAGAATGTACGCTCAGCGGCATTATTTATTTATACAACGTTTTTTATTATTAGGTGTTTAGACGTTGCGGTGTCGGGCTGGAGAAGGATCTCATCGTTGTCAAACGATCCTGTCGAAGGAGGAATGGGAGAATATTCCTCCCCGGATGGTGGAGCAGACGAAAATGGAGATGATAGATTTTTCCAAACCTAGGGCTTCCAGAAGGATGTTGTTCCTGGAGCATCAGGTGTCGTGAGCTCCCGTGATGAGGGCGAGTACATGCAAAGGGCGACCAGGAAGGGAAGCCTTGACATCGGCAATGATGGCGATAGAGTCCTTCACGAGTAAGAGTAAGTCCGGGTTCCTCAGACGGCCGTCGGAGTTCCGGAACCTGGGTTCGGTTCTAGTTTCCCAGCCCTTTTTTCGAGCAGCATCCGACAGGATTCCTACCAGGTTGTCGTGTTCGTAATTCGTTCGTAGTGCATCAACAGACACTTTTGAAGAATGTGGCTGGTGGTTTCCACAACACGTCAGCTCTACAGCGGAGTTGTTCGAAGAGGAGGCGTTGGTTGCGGAGGCCTCCCACAGTTGGTAAACCCCAGCACGAAAATGGATGACCTTGATGTAGCTGGAGCCGTTCTAGAAAGATGGAGGGGAACGGATCCAGTTGGTGACCTGTGGCGGAGAGGAATGTGCGGTCACGCCAGAAACCCCCTTGTTCCCTCTGTGATCCATACGGTCGACACAACCTAGCAAGGCGTTCGGCCTGTTTGAGTATGTGCGGCGAATCCAGGATGGGAAGGAGTTGTGGATCGTCGCACAGTGTGAGGTTGTGTAGCCATTTGAGGAGTATGTCTGGCATGCGGGCTGCGAAACAAGGAAGTCCAAGCCCGCCAGCCTTGATCTCGGTTGCACGATGGCGAGGGCAGATGGAGGATCGTCTTCACTGTACGGCGAATGCCCTTGTCTACCAGATCAGGCGCTCCACGGGATACAGAGGGGAACTGAAACTGATAGAATTTCGGAAGGAGATAAGTTGTTGCCAATTCCAGTTTTTGCCACGGTTTCAACGAGGCATTCTTGATTCGCTGCATGACGGTAGAGATGTCGGTGAGGATGGGCGTTTGGGTTCCAGTAGGGTAGAAACGAAACCCAAGATACCTGAATAGTTCTTCAGGGCCAATTTGGGGAATGGGATCACCGCCAATGTACACACGGCTCTTGGTGGAGGTGTAGCTTCTCTCTTACCGGTAGTGGGTTGTCGCTGAGGTGCGTGCACTTATTGCTGTTTAATTGCATGCCTCTTGCTTGAGTGAAGTGGTTGACCACCCAGAGAAGATGTTGTTGGTCGTCAAGAGAAGTCGACATGAGGACCAGGTCATCCGCATAGCTCAGGATGCTGCATTTGTTTTCCCGGAAATGAATGCCGGGCTATTGTGGTTTCCAGTCTGTACAAGAACTCGTCCATGACGGCGTTGAAGTGAAGGGGAGAGACGGGATCCCCTTGTTTGACGCCACGTTCGATGTTTATTGGCGGGGAGGTGTATTGGTCGCAGGAGTTGATGATAGTTCAGCTCGTCAGTGAGGAGAAGGTGAAGCGGGGATCCACGCCCAAACGAACTAGTGCTCGCTCAATGACAGGGTGAGGGTCTGTGTCGAGAGCCTTGTGCAGGTCGAGGGTGGTGATGTGAAAGGGCCTGATATGTTCCCGTTGATGTAGGATGAGGGTCCACAGAGTGACGGCGTTGACCAGGGTGTCGTCAAGAGAGATGAAGCCTCACTGGGACCTACTGAGAGGAAGGGTGGCGAGCGTCTTGGCCAGGATACGATGGAGAATTCTGACCAGGAGTGGGGCGACGGTGATGGACCTCCAGTTGTTGATGTTGAAGTTAGCTATCACTTTTGGGATCAAGGTGGTACGGCATTTGCGCAGTGTGGGAGGAGAGGCTCCAGTAAGCAACATAAAGTTGAATAGAAGAGCCAGACGGCGAGTGGGTATATGGTTGACGTCGCGCAGGCGCATACCATCAGGTCCAGCAGTATCAGACATCTTTGTTGATTCCGGATGTCCTCTTCGGTGGCGGGAGCATAGAAAAGATTGTGTGAAGGTTTGACATCACACAGTGTAGGAAGGCCTTTGCTGATGTCGGGCATGCCAAAGATCCGGGAGTAAGCCCCATAAAGGTGATCTGGGTGGGAGGTGGTCGGCAGCTGCTCTAGATCAAGACCGTCGATGACCTTTTGGGCAAACATGACTCTATTGTTGTTGTAGAGCTCCTGTTCTAGTCGGTAACGGGTGATTCTGGCTCGTCGCTTCGAGTGTTGATGAGCGGGAGCCTTCGGGGGCTGGGAGTCGTCGCAAGTCCGGTTGTTGTCCTCCCTTTATCACGCATGCGGAGAAGAAATTCCTCTAGGACGGTTTCCGCATTGGCGTTTGAATGGAGGAATAGTGTGATGTCCCCTGCGGTGGTGGAGTCGTCGGACAGCAGCAGCCGTAGGTATTCTGCTACAGGGTCATCTACGGTTTCGGTGGAAATGTTGTCGTCCAGTGGAGAGTTGGGGAAGAGAGGCGATGAGCTTAGCTGCGGTGAGCTATTGTGCAGGGTCGTAGCCGGGGTTCGAAGGACTTCAGGGGCACTCGAGATGAAAGTGTCGGACTCCGGGGAAGCGGGTGTTATTGAAATGGAGGGTATGAGGGCAGCATGCTCGGAAGGGTCCTTCCCGGATTCTGCTTCTTGGAAGTCGGTGCGGATTCGGTCTATCTCTGTTCTGCAACGTTGGGAGCGCCTAGGGTTTTGATAGCTATTACGTCATGGTTGAATTTCTCAGAGAGATGCCTTTGTAGTTGTGAAACTGGTCCTCACAAGCGTAGTTCTTCCAGGACGATGTGATATACTTCGAGGGTTGTGAATTGGCGCTCCTTTCTGCGATCGGATTCTTCAACCTTGGCTTCGTACTCGGAGCAATGGGCGTGCCGAAAGGGTTGAGTAAGGCCGGTGTTGGTCTTAAATTCCCTATCGCACTATTTACATCGTAGCTCAACGGGAGGGTGGCAGTAATAGCGTTGGTGTTGTTTTGATCTCTCTAAGGATGCGTAACTCTTGCCGCATAAGTCGCAGGTTACAGGTGGAGAAGGTGAAGGAATGTCATTGACAGAGCTGCAGTTACTCCCAGAAGAAATGGTAATGGCAGGCGTGTAACTGGGCACCGGCAGGCAATCGGTAGGGAGGAGTTCCGTAGAGGACAGTGGAGCTTGATGTGACGTGGAAGACTCCTTTTTAAGGCGAAGGAACATCCACCAAGATGTCAAGTGGGGCGCTCATCAGGCATGGATAGTGACGCATTTGGCCGTTCTTTAGGTGTAGTTACTAGAATCCTAGGAACCCTGGACCTGGTGTTGTAGTGTAACAGTTGCTCGGGGTATTCCCGCTTGGGGTCGTAACGGGCGGAGCCTTATTTCCGGCCCGTACGTTGGAAAATGCAGCCGAGCAAGGACAATTATTTGTTTGACCACGGATGGTTCGATCTATTCCTTCTCGCAACGTTCGATAGAAACGTAGGTGTTTTAGTTAAATAAAAAATATATAGATATATATATGAAATGGAAATGAAATTATTTATTTACAAAGCATTATCCAAAGAGATAGAACAAACAAAAAGACATACTCACATTCATACCTTAACAATAATATATACAATTAACATTCATTCGTCCATTCATGTCGGAAATAGGTAAAAATAATATCTATATTTATCTACCGTAACGACGGCGTTCGGTCGGCGAAATATGACGTCGGAGCACCAGAAGTTCGGTGCGTACTGCTCTTCTAACGTGCAGAATAAGGCGTCTAGCTCTTGGTGGAACGTCCGTCCAAATGGTTTTGGAGTCCGTCGTGGCTTTCTTCGGGCGGCGGTGATTTGTCGTTCCTTTCTACGCTGGTCCCGAAGTCTGTGTTCTTTTTTTGCTGAGCGGCTGGCTCGTGGCACCGGTAGTATGTACAGGAGCTGAATGGTAGCTAATTACTGCTAACGAGGGTAGCTACTGTAGCTAAAGGTAGCTACTAGAGCTAAAAGTAGCTACTAGAGCTAAACGAGAGCCGAATGGTTCTGAATATCGATTCTTTTTTTTTTTTTGTTTTCGGGAAAGAGGGGAAATCTTCAAAAGACACCCTGGCTTCCGTATGACAGGGTTGTGTTGGATTCACCCTGAAGGAGCGACTACCAACTGAAACCCCTCTACCTCAGACCGTTCTAGGACCAATGAAGTCGGTCCTCTTCAGCCAATGTGTAATTTTGTAATCTGATTTGTGATTTTAAATTTTATTTAGTGAGCGTTACATGTATGTGGGGTGTGCGTGTGTTTGTATGTAGTTGGGGTGGTTTTGTGGTTATCTTATGGAGTTGGGTAGGGAATTGAGGTGGTCGATGTAATCATCGGGAAAATTCTGCGGGGAGTTTGTGTAAGTGTATGTGTGGAGATGGGGTTATCCGTTTGGATGGCCCTTATAATAAATTTGATCTGAAGTGTGACGATACGGTCTGTGATGGGTGGCGATTTTTCTTAGGATGTTTCTTTCGGTGGCGATGAGCACTTCTAGTTGACTATCGGAAATGTGAGACTGCTCGGTAATCGATTAGTGGTCTTACGAAAGTTTTGTATGTGTGGAGCAGTGTTTCTATGCTACATGATTGTATGGTGCCGTTTACGAGAGATAAAAGGTTTGCCGGCTTTCAAACTTTGTCTAGTGTTATTGCTAGATCCTCGTGTGGGTTCGTAGTATGTGTGAGTTTATTCCCAGGTATTTTATTTCCTTTTGTAGTCGTTAGCGGGTGCGGCAAATTTGAATATTAATGTGGTCGGGTGAAAGTGTGGGTTTGCACGTGTACCTACCATGTGTGAATAATATTAGTTGTGATTTATCTGGGCTTCGTTTTAATCGCCATTTATTGAGCCATTGTTCTAGGAGTTTGATTTGACGTTTTAGTTTGTTGTTGTAGAAGTAGGAGGTTAAGCCGTTAGCCCAGTACGCCGTATCGTCTGCATATTGACATAGGCTGACGGTGTTTTCGATAGGTTGGGGTAGATTATGGCAGAATATGTTGTAGAGATGCGGGGCGAGCACTGTGCCCTGTGGTACTCCTGCATTAAGTGAGAAAGTTCGCGAGAAAGTATTACCGATTTTGATTCGGGAGGGTCTGTTCGTTAGAAAGGAGTGTATTATTTTCACGAAGTAATTTGTACAAGAGGCCGTTATGTCATACGGTGTCGAAAGCTCTTTCGAAATCTAAGGCGATTGCAAGTGTGCAACCGCCTGTGTTTATGTACGAAGTTACTTCAGATTGGAGTTTTAGGACTGACTCAAGGGGGGAGCGTTCCTTTCGGAACCCAGTTTGTGAATGATATGGTTGTGATCGTCGTATTCGGTTACACGGGACGCGATAATACGTTCGAATATTTTTCCGGAGTTGTTTACTAGGGAGATAGGGCGGTATGATTTCGCGTCTATATGGTCTTTTCCTGGTTTAGGTATCATTATTAAATTCGCGCTTTTCCAGGTTGTAAGTATACCGTTGTAAATGCAGGTAAGATATTCTATTGCTGAAGGCGGTAGGTTTTTAATTATGCTGTTCGTTATTGTGTTTGCTATGTCGTCAGAAGTAATTTCGCACAAAATGTTGTGTTGGGTGTAGCATGCCATTTGAAGTACTTGTGTGGTATGTAAATTTAAGGATCTAATGTGTGCCGCGTCATGCTGTGGGGCCGTGTGTGTGGTGTGTAGTAATTCAATTGTATCCGTGAACGCGCTTGCCTTTTCTGCGGGTGTGTTATAAATCTGATTATTGTCGATCATGTGGCTGATGGGAATTGTTTTTTGCCCAGTTAGTGTTTTGAATTTTTTCCAGAATTGGGAGCCGTTATGGTAATTTAATTTTGAACAAGATTCGTGCCATCTTTTTTGTTGATGGTTGTTGACTTCGCGGCGGACTAGGACTTTTAACCTGTTCCATTCTGTTTTAACGAGTGGGTTGCGTGAGTAGTATAGCTATAGGGATTCTGGGACAGTTCGATGGCCTGTCCATCCTCAGTCCTTACCATGACCTCTAATGGCACCTTGGAGGTCATTCTTCGTGCGGAAGACCGAAACGTCTTGCTAAAAATGTGTTTTGTTTGTCCTCTAAGACACGTTGGAGGTGATTCTGCAGCTGAAGAAGTTCTTAAGAGCCTCTGGATTGTCCTAAAAGTGGGCGGAGCCTATTCGAATTTGAATTTCGCCCGCGTTTGAAGGTCAGTGCAGTGTTTGCTCAACGTTGTTGACGATACTTTGTGACGTAATTGAACTTTGGTCTTTTGAATATTTGTGTAGATA